GTCACTCAGAAGAGCCCTTCCATGCAAATCTGTACCTTTGACTATTTTCTGCCAATTCAGTGCAAGTGCTACTGTTTTTTAACACATGATGGCACGTAATTCGTTTTCCTTACATTCCTTTGAAGGAAGTAGGTAAACATGGATTTGGGTAGTTATTTACAGATATATTCACATGGTTATATCTCCAGTTACACATGGCATGAATCTTTTTCTTTCATGCAGTTATCACAAAGGAATTTTGAAATAATAGCCTTAATTAAGAATACAAAGTATATTGTCATAGGCAGAAAGTACAATCTTTTAGCAGGGAAAGTAACCATATGTTGAATTTACTGAAAAGCTCAGTGTTTAGATAGTTTTTTAATCATAGCTTTATGTAAGAATAAAGCTTTATTTTAAAAGGAAGGTAGAAAATCCAGTTGATAATCTGCTGGGTCATGAAAGTTCAAGGAAATGGCTAAAGCATATAAAACATCGTTCCCCTTATAATTTATTCATCTCTTCAAAAATTCTCATGTCCATTTAAGGTCTTCTAACTACATTTTTAGAAAGATTAAACTAAATAAATATTCTGACAAGGTTTTGTTTTTATCTTGAATATAAATTTGTATTTCCTAAAACGTTTTCATTTTATTTGTTTTTCTCTCAGTGTTTATATTAGACTAAGCATTAAGGTAACCTCCTTTGCTAGCCTGTTGACCCTTCACCTGACCTCCTCTGTTTGACATATGAAATTTTTCTAAGGTTGGGCCCACACTGTCATGACATAGTATATTCATTCTCTACTGTTTCAAAGTGGGAAAATCAATTTAATTACAAAAGTAGTGCGCCATCTTGTGGAGAATAGTGCAATCAACACAATATCATTTATCCCTAAAATTCAGAGTTGGATAGATACTGCATTTGGGCTCTTAAAATAAAAAGTCTGCTTCTTTGTGAAAAATGGTGTAAAGACATTGATGAGTTAACATTTCTACCTTATTTTTAGTGGGCATAGATATGTAGATTAGTACTACTGGTACTCAGTAGTCGTAGAGTTTATTCAATGCTGGTACCAAAAAGACCTGTACCAAAGAATGTGGTTGAATTTTAGCTTTTGTGGCCTGAGTAATGAGAGATTAATTGATTGGCTGATGATTGATTCATTATAGTCTCTTAGAATGAAATTGATTTAACATTTTGAACATTGGCTATTATTGGTCAGTTTACTTCCAGTTCCTTTCTTTCATTGGCTCCGCCTTTTCTGTCAGTCTCATGTGCCGCAAGTTAAGATCCGCTATAACTCTGCCCAAGGTCTTCTGCAGCTACTCCATACTCCAACGTCTATGGCCCTGGCTCCTCCAGTTCTTAGCCTCTGTATTGTCATTTAACTCCTCCTGTGTTCTGGCCACTACCTTTCTTTTTAACCTCATTTTCACCTACTACTTTTTGTGTTCTTCTTTTAAATTGAACAGTGCATTTATTCCAGTTTTTTACCACTTTGCATGCATAATTTAATTCTCACAGTTGCTTTATGAGTTAAAAACTGTCATTTCAGAAATGAGGAAACGAGCGGTTAAGGAGCTTTGTGGTGGTCGCACAGCTATGGTGGTACAGCTGCAATTCTGAGATCTATCTGACTTTAGAGTCCATGTCTTTTAAAAACACTTTTAGTGTTTTTCTGTCTCTGTACCTTTATTTTTTACTCTGTTGAAATTCCCTCTTCTTTTATACCCATTCTGTCAACAAAGCCACCTTGCTGCAAATACCATTATTACCTTGAAGCCCTCCTTTCCTGAGGCCCCTCAACCACGTGTACTTTCCTCCCTCTTTTGAACCCTCTTGGTGCTTTTTACCTTTCTTATGGCACTGAGCTAACCTGCAATCATGGTAATTTAGGTACTTGTTTTATACTCTTGACTTGACTGTAAGCTCCTTGAGGATAAGGACTATGTCTTTTTTCTTTAATTCTCTAAAGTGTCTTGCCAATTGAGATTAGTACTCAAAACATACTGACTGAACATTCCTCTGAATCCTGGGAGAAATGGCTATTATCTATAGCCTGTTCTCCTTTAAGGAGGGGGTGGGGTGGAAGAAGGCCCTGGCTGGTGTGACTCAGTGGATTGAGCACAGGCCTGTGAACTAAAGGGTCGCTGGTTTGATTCCCAGTCAGGGCACATGCCTGGGTTGTGAGCCCGCTCCCCAGTAGGGAGCGTGCGAGGGGGAACCACCCTTTCATGTTTCTCTCCCTCTCTTTCTCCCTCCCTTCCCCTCTCTAAAAATAAATAAGTAAAATCGTGGGTTTTTTTTTTTTTAAAAAGGGCTGCTGCTTGAGGAGGATTATACTGCCCCAGGGATGTACATGAATAGTTATATCACTTTTAAGCCTGAGAATGGACATTCAGTAAACCAAACTACTATGCAGTTGCAAATAATGTTTTCTTTTTTTCTGCTTTTTTAACTTTTCACTATAGTTCTCTCCAGTTATTTCTATATTCTTCAAAAGGTTTTTGTATTACTTATGCATTAAACAATACTTATGCTGGTATTTTTAATATTTCATGTCTGAATGATTTAACCTATATAATTAGAAGATGTAATTAAAATTTTGTTATGCATTTCATTCAGGTATGTCAAAATGTCCTCTTTCTGACTGATTATTCAATTTTACTATTAAGCTTCAACTGGGACCACAAAGTATTCATAGACAAGAATGACATCTTGGATTCATTCCACTGGGATGCTTGTTCTGTGCCAGATTTTATTTTGCTCAGCTATCAATGAGGCTGTTGTGGAAATGTGGGTTTTCTTTGCTGTGAGAATTTATGCGTACAAAGAGACTTGCTTTTCAAAAAAGAACATTGAGAACCCAGAGCCCAAGAGGAAGGGTTATTAAAGTTAATGAACCAGGGTAACCTTATCCAGAGGATGCCCTGAAACACTATAAAACAAAAGGTCAATTGCTATTGCTATTTTAGTGATATACCTCCTCCTTCTCCAGGCTTCAGAATTTAACAGGGTTAACTGCCTTTGTAGTGAGGCGTTGGCAAATATTTTTTAAGCCAGATGAAAATTCTTTAATTTTCTCCTATAAAGTTCTACGTATCTGGGCATTAATTACTGTGTGCCATTTGGAAAACAGAATGATAATGGATTGTTTTGTAGTTTTGAAATATGACAAATTTTAATAGTTTAATTGTCATTTCACATTTGTACTGAGCCAAAAGTATTTTAGGTAATGAGTTAAACATGGAATCAGGCACAATAATACTGTTCATATTACATCTGTAGTAATACAAAGTATTTCTTATTTCTGTGCACTTTAGAGGTAGAAAGGCTGTTCATACCTGACAGCTTTCAGAATGTTTTCATGTAGCCGATATCTGAAGAACTTCACCACAACACTGAGAGTTTTGTAAATGAAACTGAGAACCAGTGAGGTTAAGTAACCTATAACTGAGTTAGCATAGGTCCCAGTGATCTCTTCTTATCCAGAAGTATTGTTTTGATTTCCCAAGATTCTTGGGGCATAGAATGGAATGTTTCGCTTAGAAAATTCACTTAAAGTTTGAAATTATATGACAGTATGACAAAAATCTCTTAAAAGACAGCCCAACTCTATGAATGGCAAGAGTTTTCTTAAATGGGGTTACAGTGTTTCCAAGTGCACTTTGAATTGTATATAACCCTTCATGGTGACACATAACTTGAATGGCAGTCCCTTCATATATAGGATTAGGCCACATCTGTTAGAGAGTTAGATGGCTTTACAGTTTTTCTGTAATGTCTTATTTAACTTTATAAAAAATAATTGCTAGGCTTATATCACCAATAGGCATAAGACATTTATTTATACAAGAGAGAAATATTTGAAGAAAGGAAGGCACTCTTATTATATAAAGAAGAATGATATGATACACATTGTTATGTGTAAAGAGTTTCACTATTCACTAAGCAAGAAATCAGTTTTGTCACAGGGATAAAGTCCATGGATATAATAGATACTTCAGGGTTAGAAGACACCAAATTCTCAAGATAACCTACAGTGATCTAAAGGTTGATTATGAGGAGTTAAACTTACCACTATATACGTGTGTGTGTGTGTGTGTGTGTGTGTGTGTGTGTGTGTACGTACTGTGTATATATATAGTTTTGGGTATTGCATATATGTATATTGCATTGGGTATTGGGTATTACACATATGTACATGCATAGTTTTATATATACATATATATTTATATATATATTTGGGTTTGCATTAGAAATAAAACAGTTTTAATGTGATTTTTTTTTCCCCTCCCAGAAATAGCTACATGTCTTGCCCTGACTGTTGTGGCTTAGTGGGCTGGGCATTGTCCCGCAAACCAAAAAGATCACCAGTGTGATTCTGGGTCAAGGCACACCCATGGTTTGTGGGCCAGGTCCCCAGGTGGGGGTGTGTGGGAAGCATCCGATCTATGTTTCTTCTCTTGCACATCGATGTTTCTCTCCTCCTCTTTCTACTTTTCTTCTCCTCTCTAAAACATAAATATATTTAAAAAAAGAAAAAGAAAAATAGCTTTATGTCTTTATATTTTATAGTATACATTTCTCTGGAATTTCTTTTTTCTCTCTTTTTCTTTTTGTAGTCCGAAGCTGCATATTAGTACAGTAAATGTAAATTTTTTGTGGCCTAACAGAAACCCCTAATCTGGCTACACATCAGATTCACCCTGGATACTTTAAAAATACAGACAGACTCTTTTTACCTACTGAAGACTTATGGAATCAGGATCTAGGGAATGCCTCCTAACTTACTGCATTTTCTAAGTCTCCCAAAGTAGTGGTTCTGCAGCATCCTTTCTGTATATTCATGATTAGGCAATACTAGTCTAGAAATATTTTGTAATGGTACCATTAAAAATTTTTTAAGTTTATTTTGATGAACCTTCTTAAATGATCTTAGAGACAACTGGATAGGTCTGGGTGCCTAGACTTATATTTTGCCTTTATCTTTTCACATATTTTTCTAATTTTCACAGAGACCGTTTATTTGTTTGGTGGCTGGGATGGAACACAAGATCTTGCTGACTTCTGGGCATACAGTGTGAAGGAGAACCAGTGGACATGTATCTCTAGAGACACTGAGAAAGAGGCAAGTTCTCAGAATTTTCATTGATCTGTATTGCAGTAGGGGTGTGGGGATACGCTTCTTTTTCTGGATGATTTGTATTCTTTTCTAATGTCGGTCAGCACTGGTAGCAGAAGAATTTATGGTGAACAAGTTGGCTTAAGTACTTCTGCATTCCAGCTTCTATACCTGGTTGTACATGAACAAATCTAACTTACAGAGATAAATAGAAATAGGAATCAAATATCATTTAGTTTTTACTACTTTGGCCTGGAAATGTAACTATGAAATGTAAAGGTGGCAGGTGTTCCTGTCAGCTCTATCTTATTTCAAATATTCGTCTTATTTTAAGTTCCTCTGGAAATTGTGCTTTGGATGTCTTTATTATCTCACTATTTTGATCCCTAAGTATTTGACTAAGTATCAGTTTTACAAATGACATATATTTTATCTTTAGCTAAAATTGTACGCATGTATAATAAAGCATTTCCATAGTGAATAAGATGGCTTGGATTTACGGCTTTCAATTAAATAAAAGTACATAATTATGCACGGGTATAAAGCAAAAACTCAGTTTTTCCCCAAATTTTTATAGAATTTTTTTATCGTACCCTTTATCTAGAATGTTTCAGATTACAATGTTAAAAATAAGCTGTTAACAAAACAGTAGTAGCTGCAAATGAAAAGTGGGAGACAAAAAACCTAATTTAATCTAGGAAAGCCATTTCAAAAAGATCTGGTGCTATGTCTTTAATCCCAGGAAATTTAAGCAAATTCTTGATTACTCATGTGTTCCATTGATGAGTCATTCTTATCTTTCCAAAAGTATTTTGAAATTCTGATTTCTATTTATTATCCCTGTAAAAGTATGAAAAATGGCCTTTGTCTTTCAGTATTATCGTTTTCTGAAATGATTATTTCTATTCTCAACAAAAATAAAGACACCTAAAAAAATATCTAACTTTTTTCTCTTAAACTATTTTAAATGTAGGTTGATTGCATCTGTAATTTTCCTTGCAATAAGTCTAGGATTTATCCTGAAACTCTCTGTCTTATTAATAGAGTATATCTAATGAATACTTAAGTTCCAACAGTTACAGCACCCAATATTGCATTTCATGTCTTTTCCTTTCTGTCTTTTTCACATTAATTCCAACTTTATGATTTCTTTCTTAACCATTTTTGTCTCTTGCTGATCCCCAGATCTATTTTCCATTTATTAGGACAGTGTTTAGAAAAAATATCTGGCCATGTGACATCTGCCCTGTTTAGCTTCTATTTCAACTATCTATATTTTATTACATTGAAAACTTTAAAAAACTTCAATGGCCTATAGTAGTAAGCATTTATTTTACTCAGGAGTTTACAGATTGGGTTGTTTTTTTGGTTTTGACTGGGCTCACTCATATATCAGGAGTTAGCTGGCTGTCAGCTAGTGCAGTGTAGCTCCAGCGGGGACTGCTTGGCTTTGTTCTGTGTAGCTCCTCACCTTCCTGTTGGCTAGCTGGAACTTGTTCTCATGTGAGAGGCAGGGGTGCAAGGGGGCTGAAGTGGACATGAACATGCCACCAAATTTGTTACTGTCCCATTGGCGAAAGGAACTCAGGTGACCAAGTTCAGAGTCACTGTATGGTGAGGCACGCTATCAAAGGGAAGTCTGAATAACAGCAGTAATCAGAATGATTAAGCAATTTATTTTCCTTAGTCCTTTTTGCTTAGAGTAAAAACTTCAAGTTTCTCATCATGATTTGGTCCCTATTCACCTGTCTAGCCTCACCTCCAGACTTCATGTGCCAGCCATACCTATAGTTGCTGGAATTACTCAACTTTCTACCTGTGTCCTTTTTTTTATAATTCTCTTTCATGTCTGACTTATCGAAAGACAACTAGATATTCTTATCTGCTGTTGCACTTAATCTCTTGCAACATACTGTTTTGTGTGAAATATATGAAGAAAATTGGACCTCACAAAGCTATGTTTTTGAAAAGGAAAGTAGTATTTTAATAGCCTTTTTATATAATTACACAAAATACACTGGGATCAATTTAATAAAAATATCCAAGACCTCCAACCTGAAAATCCCAGGAATGCTGAAAGATATTAAAGAAGACTAAAATTAATGGATATTTAACTATGTTCATGGATTATAAGACTATATTATTAAGATGTCAGTTCTCTTCAAATTGATTTATAGGTTCATCACATTCCCAATCATAATCCCAACAGTTTTAGAAATTGAGAATATGATTCTAAAAATTATATGTAAATGTAAAGGATCTATAAGAATCAAAGTAATTTTTTAAAAAAAAAGAACAGAGGTGTCTTACATTACCTGAGCTCAAGGAGTGTCATGTTGGTATATGAACAGACCAAAAGATAATGGATCAGAATAGAGTGTCCAGAAAGAGACATATATGATCAATTGATTTTTGACAAAAGTCAGTGGGAAAGAAGATAGGGAGCAACCAGAACTCTCAGACATCTCTGGCAGGAATATGAGATCAAAAAAGAACATACATAATTATCTAAAAATACTATTAAAATGCTACTCAGGAGCCATATCAGCTAACATTTTATATTCTCTTACATTAAAACACATTGGTCTATCTTGCTCTTTGAATGGATCTTTTATTCAGGTGGGTTTTTTTTTTTTTTTAACCCATGTGTTTGGTCATTTGAAAAATATCGATTCCCTGAGTTATGCACATCTTCCAAATGTTGGTGTATTTTATATACAATATCCAAAAATAATACATTTGTTAATATCACTAGAAATCTCATTAGAAAAGTTTTTTAAGTATTGGGAGGATGTCAAGATGGCAATGGCAGATAGGAGTTTCTTTCTACTCCTAATTTGCTGTAAGTTTTTCTTCATGAATATGTGTTGAATTTTATCAGATGTTTTTTCTATATGTATTGTGACACAATCATGTTTTTCCCCTTTAATTCTGTTAAGGTAGTGAATTAACTTTACTGATTTTCAAATGTAAAGTCAACTTTGCACTCCTGAGATAAACCCTTTAGTTATAAAATACCCTTTTTATATCTTGCTACATTCTACTTGATAATACTTTGTTAAAAATTAGTTTTGTGTCTTTGTGCATGAGGTATACTAGCTGCCTGTATATTTTCTCTTCATCCTTTGTAATATTGTTGTTACTTGGTTTCAGTGTATAGGAATGGAATAGAATACAGATTTAAAATGGGAGTTTTCTTTTTTGTTTCTAAAAATTTTGTGTAAATTTGGTATTATTTCTTCCTTAAGTGTTTGATAAAGTTTACCAGTGTGGATATGTAGGAATAGTGTTCTCTGTGGGAAAATTTTAAATTGTGAATTCAATTTTTCAATAGATATAAATGACTTTAGATTTTCTCTTTCACCTTGTGTCAATTTTGGTAAGTTACATTTTTTCAAGGAACATGTCTATTTTATCTACATTTTCAGATTTTACCTGTGGTTTTTGTAATAGGCCCTATTTCTTTTTAACTTGCAGTGAGCCTGTAGTGATATTCCTGCTTTCATTTCTATTATTGGCAATTTCTATTTTCTCTTTCTTTTTAAAAAGTTAGTCTTATTAATGGTTTATAATTCTATTACTTTTTTGAAAAACCAAATTTTGTCTCTTTCCTATTCTGTTGATTCCTGTTCTACTACTACTACTACTACTACTACTACTACTACTACAGTTATAATTGCTCAACATTTTAATAGTGCTCATGCTAATTAAGATGAAGCAGGAAGTTCTGTTACTCTCCTAATAAAATATCGAATTTCATACTCTAGGAAATATGGCAGTGGTTTATTATATATTATCCCATCTTTATTTTTGAGATTATTTATGGAAGAAATTCTTTCTCAAGTAAAAGTTTTCACCTTATCTACTGAAGATTTTTCTTGACAAAAATCTTTAAAAATAAGTTTTAAAATAGTAATTAGTAAGAATACTAAAATGCAGGTTTAAATCAACATAATATTTATGTTAATAACACTAATGCCAAACTGTTCTTTATGCCTAATACCTTTATTGCTTCGTTTAATATACATAATAATGCTAAATTACTCTTTTATGTCCTGCTCTATAAACCTATAATAGTTCTTTATTGCTTGCATGAGTATGTCTAGTCTTCTCTGTCAGTCACTCACCAAGCTTCCTGTTTCTACCCTATACTTCAACTCTATTATTTCTGTAGCAGGAATCGTTTGTCTCAGTCATAAGCACACACCCCTCAATAAGTATGTTTTTGTTTTTGTTTCTCTTCTGGAAAAAAACAATCTGGAATAGTGAAAAGAACCCAGATTTTGCTTTGGTTACCCTGGGGTTTAGATCCTCTAACTTACTTTCTAATTTTGTGCCTGTGGACAAATTACTTAGACTCTACGAAATGGTGATAGTATTTCCTTATAGAATTGTTACATAGATTAAATGAGATATATACACACATACATAGTAATAATATAGGAAATAACTAGTTGTTTTTCCTTGTGCCCCTTTCAGCTAATTCAGTCCTGCTAATTGAAGGTGTTTGGGGGGCTTTTTTCCTTTATGAACACTATTTTTGGTTTATACTACAATAATTTTTATCTTTTTTCAGTCCTATGATATAAGTGATCTCAACTAATTTTTGTTAGTAATATACTGTTCTTCATATTGTTCCCTAGTTGGATTATTCATTTGGTCAGGAGAGTCAGTTGTATATAATATAAAGGGTAGGTGAAGAGGTCAAAGACTTGGATTCTCATGCTGCTTCTGTCACTAGCTTACTGCCTTCAAGAGGATGCCTTTTGTCTTACAGTTCCTCATCTTTAAAAGGAGATAATTAAACTAGAGATTTTATGAAAGTTCTTTCTAGTTATGAAATTCAATGATTCTATATATCCTTGGCGTGCCAGTCTTATGCTAGATTGTGGTGAAAAATTCTGATGAGAAATATTTTAAAAGACTAAATATGCCTTTAAGTAGACCGAGGTGGGTGGGTGTGTGTGTGTGGGTGCGTGTGTGTATTTGTAAAATAGAGAATTAAATTCTGCACAAATGACTAAAATGCAATGGAGTATATAATAGAAGCCATATAACTGTTATGAACAGAATGCCTCAGGGTACAGAATAGTTCATCTCATCTTCCCTGGTAGATTTTAAGCATTTCCAAGGTAAGATTTGTATCTTCTGCTGTTTGTTTTCCTTCCCTTTTGAGAATTAAGCTTAGTGTTGGACTTACGCTAATTGACTTGCTATGAGTTTCTGAGAAAAGTTTGTAATGAAAGTCAACAAAAAGAGGCATTTAATTTTATTTTGTTATTTGTTCTCTGAAATTTGTTTTTTCTCTTCACAGAATGGTCCTAGTGCCAGATCATGTCATAAAATGTGCATTGACATTCAACGAAGGCAAATCTACACGTTGGGTCGTTATTTGGATTCCTCTGTGAGGAACAGCAAATCTCTGAAAAGTGACTTTTATCGTTACGACATTGACACTAACACATGGATGTTACTCAGTGAGGATACAGCTGCTGATGGAGGGCCGAAATTGGTGTTTGATCATCAGGTTTGGTGCACAGATAAATATATGGTAGAATTAATTAGTGCTTAGTAACTCTTGCTCTTAGAGTTTATTTCACATGTTATACTGAGTTATCTCTTAGTGATTTTCATTACAAATACCTATGAAAGATAATAAAAATAGCTTGTTTCAATAGGTATAAAGTTATTCTTTAAAATTTTTCTCGTTCAGTGCAGGCTAAAATATTAAGATTTCAGGACACAAATGTGATTTTATAAAATGCTTTAGAGAGAGTAGGCAGAGCGATACATTCTAGGAAAAACAAATTTAGTTTTATAATAAATATCCATAAATCATAACAATAACAATTTTCCCTTTTAAAACTTTTTATTCTGCATTCCTGGAAGAAATTTAAAATTATAATGAGTTCAGGAATTTGAAATGTAGAGCTTCTCTTCCAATTCAAGTGAAGTATATTTACCTTTGTATATAATCAGAAGCATTATAAACCTGATAGGAATTTGACATAAACTAGATGAAGTTCAAATTCAGCACCAATAGAAATCATACAATGATGCTGTAGACAAGAAGACTACACATAATTATATTGTAAATCATTTTAATATTAATATGCATGTGGGTCTTATCATCATCTTCATCAGTGTCATTACCATTGCTATTTGTATTTGACTACTTACTCCATAGTAGTTCATTATAGTTCAGTACCTCAAACAAAACAGTAACCGCTTTGAATTCAGTTTTACTTGGTTGAACTCATGTTCGAAGTTTTTTTTGGAGTATGGGGGAGAAAAAGGCTTTTAAGAAATCTACAACACCATAATGATGAACATAGTATTATCTGGTACTTGAGAATGGAAGGTGGTGCTAGACTTAGGGTAGAATCTAACTTAGGCCTGTCTAACTTCTTATTTTACATACAAGTTAAACTCAAGTGTTTTATTTATTGTTTCTTTGAATATTTTTGTTAATTCTTTGCTTTAAAAGTATTCTACTGCTATATTTATATTAATAAGTAGTTGTTATAAGAGAATGGTAAGGAAAAGAGTAATAGATTATATGCCTATCAAGTAAGTGGTGGGTGGAAAATCAAAAACATTAGTCTTCAAAGTACTCCCCAGATTGAATTTGGAACATCTGCTGCTCTACATAGCTGAGCTCTGCAAAGCTTTGCACTTCCCTGCTGACATTCTCAGTGTTTTCATGTGGAAAATAAAAACTCCAAGAAAAGTTTGGCTGGTTCTGATCTTTTAAAAACAAAACATCAGCAGATAACATTGTGAGGGAAACAATTTATTTTCTTGCTTTCTACTGGTTGCAATTTTTTTTTTTTAACAAAAGATGCCTATGTCTTTATTCTAACAAGTTGGAAAAAAACAAACAAACCTTAGGGGTAGTCTGAGTACAAATATATTGTCCTGTGTGTGGTCTTTGTTTCTCTTGACTTTGATAAAATAGAATGTTCACTGGAAGCTAGGTTCTGTTAAATGTTTGGTTTTCAATTGATTAGATCTTATAGCAGAACACTAGGGGCAAAGAAACCAGGATTTCAGTGCTAATTCAGCTAACAACTAGCTCTGTGACCTTGTGCTATCTGTGTAAGCCTCCATTTTCTCTTCTGTTTCATGCAAATAAAGCTATAAGTTGGAACTTGAAAAATTACATGGTGTTGTTCATGACGCTTAAGATTTGACACAACGTTCAAATTAGAGAAGAACGTGAGAAAGCTAGAGGCATGAAGATGTTTAAAAGTTACTTTGCCATTTTGAATTTAATGTAGTTAAAAAAATTTAAATTTAAAGACTTTTGGATATTAAGAATATAGTGGCAGCTTAGTTCTGAAGCTTTCGATGTTGTTGCTTTGTGTGATTTTCAGGAACAATGAGAACCAAACAAAAAAAAATTTATAAAAAAACATAAGTCACATATTCAGCAAAATCAGGAGCCAAAGCAAACCTACAACTCCCAATTTCTTGTAAGTTTAGCCAGAAACAACTGAAATACTCTTAAAACCTGTATTGAAGCCGACAGCAGTGTAATATGGAACTGGGAATGCAGAGGAGCCTAGCAGAGGTACATCTTAGTATGAAGTGTTAGGAGCAGGGCAGAAAGTTGAACCCAGGGCAGCCTCTGGGGGAGTCAGAGAGGTAACATGTAGAAAGCACCCAGAAAGACCCAGAGGTAGTAGATGTCAGAAAGCACCATCTTTTAAAAGTGCGGGAAACACCATGACAACTGGGCACATTGGCTCCTTTTGCAATATCCATTGAAGAAACTGGGGGAGCTCAAGTCTTGTGATAGAAACCAGGCCCCCTCCCACCCAACCCAGATGAGGGTTCATAAAGTTAAAGGAGATGTGACTTCACAGATTCACTGTATTTTGAAGAAAACATTTAATTCAGTAGCAACAGAAGAGGGTTTCCTTGAGCAAGAACATCAGCCTTTCATAAGAGCCTTCTGTTATTTGGCCCAGGGAAATTCAACTTTAAATGAGTTGAATTTAAACATGAAAATCTAGAAAACGATAAACACCAAATCTTTAGAGAGATGCTCTAAAGAAAAACAATTTAAAAAAACAGCAAACTTTTTTTCACAAAACAGCAGATGAAAATTAAATTCCAGAATCCAAACATGAATTAAATGACTTAATGAAGCTTGAAACTCTGAAGGAAACTACAAAGCATAAATTCAAGAATGCAGAAGAGATGACCAAATAATGAGAGCAGGTAATTTGAACCTGGCAAAACTCAGGAAAGAAATTGAAGAAAAACATAGTAACACTTTCAGCAATGAAAACTAATCGACATGGAGCATAGTGAAGAATAGGTAAAGAAGTAAGAAGGTAAATGGAAATAAGAAGAGCAGATAATAAAAGATTTAAAAAAGGATTGGCCGGAAAATTACAGATCAAGAAGACAGGCAAAAGTTAGCCAAGCTGCCTATAATTGGAAACATTAAATACAAAAATCAAAACAATGGAAAACAAATATTTATAAATAAGATTCAAGAAGACTTTCCTGAATAAAGAAGAGTATTTCATATTTCAAAAGGGTGTTCTATATTCAAGGAGAATTGATCTAGTCATTCAACTCCAAGATACATGTTAGTAACATTGGATGTCAAATATAAAGAAGCCATTTTGGAAGGCAACTAAACAAAGTGATCAGGTCACCTCTAAGAGAAAATGAGACTGATATCAGATGTCTCTACTGCTGCATTCAGTGCCAGGAAACAATAGAGCAACATCTAGAAGGTATTCAGGAAAAGGCAATGTGAGCCAAGGATTTTATATCTAGACAGAAACTGTCCTGCAAGTTTGACCACTTTTTGAAGAAATTACTAGAAAAAGAATATGAACTAGCCAAGAAATGGCAGGAAACTTCAGCGAAAGGATTGGAGATCTCAGCTCATAGACATTCTCCCTGAGTCAGTGTGGATCACTGGCAAGCTGAACAAGAGAATACATTAGTAATGGTGTTGAAAAACAAGAAAGAATGTCCTTGGGGAACTTAAAAGGGGGGGGAAAAACTGGGGGAGAATTCTTTTAAGGTAGAACACAGACAAGATCAGATCCAACCAGAAGAAACTAGAGCCAGTAAGAGAGCAGCCCCATGAGTCTCAAAGCATATATAGCAGGGGCAGAGAGTGGATGCTCAGTGGGAGACGGACAGCAGAGCATTCCTCAGGTCGACTGAGAAGCACTTAGCTGTGATACTTGTCCATAGGTCAAGGGTTGAGTGTGGGCATTGGAGCTGAAAAGGTAGAGCAGTACTCCTAAGGGCACCAGAGGGCAGCTCTGGAACTCTTTACAGAATCACATCTTGTTTCTTCCCACCCTTTAGGCAGGCTATTGTATATGCAACAGGCTAGGGATTCTCAGATACAAAGAGGACTAGAACAACAACCAAAAAATCCAAGTATTTGAATATAATTAGTACCATTAGACAGGTGCTGAACTCAACAAATTAAGAATTAACAAAGAAAAACAGTATATAAACTGAAGAAGCCTTTAAGATAAGTTTAAGTGATAATTTTTGAGTAATTCAGGCAGATATTGCATTCGTTAAATGATACATCTAGGAAAATGGCAAATTAAAGATATTTTTTTAATCTCAGAAAATTAATTGGAAAGCAGAATGGAAACAGTCACCTCTAAATGGTTATTAAATTAGTGAGCTGAAATTTTGAGAGAAAGGAAACGAAGGTCCTCAAGTTCCAGTGCCACCTAATAGGAGTTCTAGAAGAGAATGCAGACCAAAAAACCCCCACAAAAAAACAAAAACCCAAATAAACATGAAGAAAACTCCAAGAGCAGAAGAAAAAGTTTTCAGAACAATGGGAACATCAGGTGCAGATCAACATGAATGAAAAAAAAATCCCTGCCTAGATACTTTCATAATGAAATTTTAGAACCAGGGATTAAGAGAAAATCCTAAAGCCTCAGAGAGAAAACTGGTTATCTTTGTAGGCACACAAATGAAAACAGGTGCATCAAAATTAAATATCCTCAGAAGGAAAGAGAAAATCCCTTTGTAGCCATATGAAGACCTGTATGGGCTAGATAACCATAAGAAACCTGATAAAACAGATTGGCCAAAATTAGTATGACTGTGAATTTATGAAAATGTAAATTGGCTTCCAGGATGTAGGCCCTTTGGGATTTTCAGCATGATCCCTAGGTGTTTGGAGAGATTGGAGCATTGAGTACTTAGGACAGGATGATGTCACTAAACTTCAACAAAGCTCTAGGCAGTCATACATGTAGTCGGAGAATGCGGCCATACTGAGTTGTATTCAGGAATGTATGGATTGCTTTTGATGATAGGATTATTGAAGATTAAAGAGTGGGAACACTTTCTTTGGAGGGCCAGGGTCACGGAAACTTTATCTCAGTTTTTCCTCCATATTCACCAGGATTTCACTCTTGAGGTATAGTAGATTTTCATCTTAATTGACAAAAATCTGCCAGAAACCTGGGTAGTAGCAAGTGAGTGGATCTTTTTAGTGTTAGGTAAAGATTAGGAGATGCTAGAATCTTTTCTTTGAATTTATTGGGATGACATTGGTTAAAATCTTTTTAATATTAATGTAAAAACCAAGTCTTCCAATTATTTAAAAAGCATTTTATTTAGAACAATACAAAAATAAATAGGAATAATATGTTGGTAAGACAGAATTAAACATAAAATGGCTAATATTTATGTGTTAGCAAAATACTGTGTACACAATATTTTTCTTTAAATATAAATGCCAGTTGTATACAATGTTAATTTCCAACTTGGACGTACATATTCTTTGCAATAAATTTAATTTTTATTTATTATCTTTTGACAAATGACTTTTCAGTTGAAAGGATGAAAGACTTAAGGTTGGGTTTTGAACATGAGTTGTATAACATACCTCAAAGAAAATTACATTTACAGTATTGTGTTAAAAGAAGACAAGATTCATCACAACATACATATCACTCTGGAGACTGCTTTAAATGTCTTTTTGTGTGTTTTACTGTTTCATAACATAATTTGAAGAGTTTTGTAAAATAAATGCAGAGAGATGAATTTAACTGCATCACTTATTCACGTATCTGCTCTCTTATTTAATGATAGCAAGATTAATAAGATGCTTGCCTAGAATAGAGAGTTTTTACAAGAAGGATTAAAAGGAGAGTGTGGTCACTGTTTACCTGTAAAGTATGATCTGTATTTACTCTTACGTTTATAAGTCAACACCTCATGTATTATTGGTTGATTTGGTAAAAATTACTCAATTTCAAAAAAGCATAAAGTTCTTTAACCCAACATATTTTATTCGCAGTGGGAAAAATGGAAATGTGAAAAGGTATTTAGAAATCCATCTGCCAGGTGATGAGCAGTATTTGCAATAAGCACATAGGATAATCAGGGGTGGTACTTAGTGTTGTTAAGACAAAGTTCACTTTTTTTTTTAAGAAGTAAAACTGCTCACATTGGTTTTACTTTAGCACATATGATAAGAACAGTCTAAAACTATTAATTTGTTTTGTTCTGATAGATGTGTATGGACTCAGAAAAACATATGATCTACACCTTTGGTGGTAGAATTTTGACGTGTAATGGCAGCGTAGATGACAGCAGAGCCAGTGAACCACAATTCAGTGGGTTGTTTGCTTTCAACTGTCAGTGTCAAACCTGGAAACTTCTTCGAGAGGACTCTTGTAATGCTGGGCCTGAAGATATCCAGTCTCGGATAGGACACTGCATGCTCTTTCACTCAGTAAGAATATTCTGTACATTATATTGTGTTATTTTGTCATGTATATCTCAGTAGGAAATCTAATTCCTCAGTAAGAGATCAAAACTTTTCATTAGAAATAAATGATTAGTGTTAGCAATGATAGATAAAAATAAAACTTTTTAACAGTGACCTATCAGCTAATTGAAAGTATTCCCCGTCAACTTAGTAATTCCTGAAGAGTTATCACCTGAATACTAATCTAGGCATTTTTATGGCTAACTGAATTGCTTATATAGATATTGCAGCTATTTCTATTTATTTATTTCTCTTACTAACTAGAAGATCAATTTTCTTATCTGTTCTTATTTTCCTCTCTGCCATTCTTAAGGGCAAATAATTAAGAATTGACTTTATAGAGTGAAATTAAACTTTATCAGCAAAACTAACATACAGACATTGCATTAACCTTTTCAGATGTTACAGTGAAAACTTGGACTTCTTTCTGTGAATATAACTTTAAAAGTATATTATGGAATATTTTAAACAGACCAAAGTGGGGAGAAGAGTATGATAAATTCCTGTGTACTCAACAGTTTCAGCAGTTATCAATATTCCATTGTTTATTTTTCCTATATCTACCCTACTTGTGTTTCATTTATTTTTTTATGTTTCTTTGAATTTTAAGTTTATTCTTAAATTTTGTTGTCCTGGGGTATTTTAAAGCAAGTACCAAACACTATTTTTGCACCTGTAAATACTATAATACGTCACTAACAGCTAAGGACTTTTAAAAATCATAATTGCAATACTACTATAATACCCAACCAAAGTAAAAGCAATTTCTTAATATCATTTAATACACAAAATTTTTCTGACATACTGAAAAATAGCTCTTCATAGTTGGTTTATACAAGTTAGGATTCAAAAAAATCTGTTATGTTTGATCGTTAGATCTCTTAAATTTCTTTTAATTCATAACAGTACTCACCCATATTTGTTAATGAAATTGAATCACATGTGCCTTAGAATTTCCTATATTCTTGATTTGGCTGATTTTATCCTCATAATATCATATAAGGTGATCTTTTATCCATATTTCCTGTCAGCTGATAGTTAAAACCAGAGTCTAACACGTCTAAAGGCAAAATGATTTTTTTTTTTAATTTAAGTAATTTTTCAATTACAGTTGTCATGCATTATATTAGTTTCAGGTATGCAACCCAGTGATTAGACATTTATGTATCTTGATTACCCTGATAAATCTAGTACTTGATTTTAAATTCACTCTTCCTTTTGGAGGGGCAGAGGGTGTAGAAGGAAAGGTGCAAGAATACTTTATAGTGGTCTGATTGAAAAATATCAAGAGACATTTAATGTATAGTCATACTTTTGATGGTGTTAAAATTGTTCAGTGAATTCAGGTGTTATTAGCCTGATTATTTATAAAGTTTCCTGTCAACTTTTTACCTAATGGCTCTAGCAGCCAATGGTAGTCATTGCCTAGATTTCATTAAGATTTGTCAAATGCTGATTTTCCTAATTGTGTCATTTCTTCTGCATTTATTGACTGTGACTGCATTATAAAAAAGTTACTCTCATTAACTATATGGCCACCTTGATATGTAAACCATACAGGATAGGTAATAAAAATGTTTGATTCTTTTCCTGTATCACTTTTTCACATTAATGAGTTAAGGCTCCAAAGTTAACCAGTGGATTTCTTTAAGTATTCTTATGAACTCACCGATTTTTCTGTATTTGATATATTTAACCCAATAATGTCATTATTCTTTTTGATGCCCATATTTTTCTGTCTTTGGCCAGTAGGCGTGCCCCCTTTCACAGTATACCCATGCATTTTTGTGTGTGTGTGTAAATTGTTTATAAGTAGAGAAAAATTAAATCATGAGTTTATATTAGTATCTAATTAAAATTAAAGGCTATAATTTTTAAATTTAATATCTTTGATTTTTGTATTTGTGTATCTTTTAAGTTTAAAATCCTCCTTCCTAATGTCAATATTATATTACTTGCTCTGTCATATACTTTACCGAATAGCAAAACCAACAACAAAATCACAGAATGCTGTTCAAAATTGTTTTCTTATTATTTTCTCTATTTAGTATATAGCCAACTAGGAAAGGGTAGTCAAATACATGACTTAAAAATCACTAAAAATATTACTTCTCTGTGTGATTATCTCCTGGTGCAGTCATGTCTTTATATTCTGATAGCTTTATTGTCCAAATTTCAGAGATCTCTTTTTTAGTTATTTGTTTTCTAGTTAAATAAAAATATATACCTGGTTCTAAAGGCAAAACCATAAGTCTCAGTACTTTACAAGAAATCTGGTGTTTATTCCTGTATTTGTGATCTGTCACTTCTCCAATAGGTATCTGTCTTTACTAGTTCCTTTTCTTTGTTTCTTTTTGGAGAAAGAAAGAAACACACATTCCTTTTTCTCCTTTCTCACACAAAGGCACCATCCTGTATACATTATTCTGCACCTTGCTTTTTTACTTTAATAGGATATCATAGAGATCACCTCTTTGCAGTATGTGGAAAGCTTTAAGCTTTTTCATTTCTCTTTGTACTAGCATAGTATTTCATTGCATGGGATCTGCCATAAAGTTACTTTCATAGGGGTTTAAATTTTTAAAAGATTATTCTGAATTTTCCATGAAAGTGATTACTTTCTCTGTTCTTTGCCCCCTTTTTCCTATTTTTCAGAAAAATCGTTGCTTATATGTATTTGGTGGCCAGCGATCGAAGACATATTTGAATGATTTCTTTAGTTATGATGTGGACTCTGATCATGTAGACATAATATCAGATGGCACCAAGAAAGACTCTGGAATGGGTAAAAGCATTTAGTGATTTCTCTCATGTCTTAACTACGTATAAGGTAGAAGATTGCAGCCCATTTTCTTTGCTTTCTAACCATTCTTCACCCTTTACCCATTTCTTTAATTGAAGTAATTCTGACTAGGATAAGGAAAACTCTGTAAGCTAAATTACCCAGTTTTATCTGTTTAAAATATATGAATTATCATTATTCCCTTGGAAGAGAAAGACAATATGTGACTTTCTAAAGAAATTATTTGTGTACCTATTTTGGGGGCGGGGGAGGCTTTACAAGAATTAATATCCTAAAAACTGTATTATTCTATATTTGCTAATCCTTTCAGTCTTCTCTTTTCAGTATAGTGACATATTCACTAGAGTAGTAGAGTATGTCTTTTTTCTGAGGGAGGACATGTAATTGGTAAGGCCTTTTAAGTTTACAAGCTGATCATCCAAGAAGTTATTCTCCTGAAAGTAGGGTGACTGGTTTGCCTGAGATAGTCCCAGTTTTATGCATATTGCCCTATCATAATTATTAATACTGTCCCAGTCACTCCCAAAAGTGTCCTGTTTTGGATGTTATACATAGTTACTCTACCTAGTAGTTACTTTGCCTGGGATTACACAGAAGAATGGTATTTGATTAAGGCCCAGTGGTTTAAAATGCCTAACTTGAGCAATAGGGTGAGAAATTAGATCAATTTGCTTTTCCTTTTAGCTATTATTTATAAAAATAGATTTTCAATTCTAATGGTTGTTCCTATTTAGGAGGAAAAACTTATTTTTTAACAGAAGATAGTGCCAGAGGTTTGAAAAAAATACACATGAAGCAGTTTGCCTTCAAGACCCTTCTCCCATACTTCCTAATAGCACTTTATTTTCTGGGGGAAAATGAAATGATAGAGGCTTTGTGGAGGTAAAGGGGACAGGGTAGAAAATAGGACAGTTAATCCTATAAACTGAATAGTGCACTTCTAACTAACCGCATCCCTGTTCCCAGTGATGCCAGGTGTATGTCTCCTAGCAAAAGACTAGATTCACCTTCTCTGGAGGAAATGTGTGGCCTCAGAGAAAAGATTTCCAGATACCATTGTTTCTGGACCTCCCTCCCCCACTCCCAAGAAAATGGCAAACCTTGCTGCCTACTCCTCAATACGAGGACTCCTTTCACAGCCTAGTCCCTCTATAGTGTTGCCCACGGTACACATACTGTTTTCAACTAATGCTTTATTTTGTAACTCTTAATGAACTGTCAATTAAGTATCTTCCGTATCAGATCCTTCACCATAAAAGAGAGACATGAAAACAAAACAAATCTGAAACAGAAGTCTGAAATAATGCACTGAACACAAGAAAATGAAAAAAATAATAATGATCAAGACCAATTTTCTTAAAGAAAAGGATACTGCATCTGTAAAACTATAATAGGATGCAATGAAAGATCAGAGACTAATAAGAAAGAGCTTTTTGAAAATAAATTTTGTTAGAATAAAATAAATAGAAGAATTGTAAAAAAAATCCGAAAAATAGACAAAGGGACAGAGATGGAAATTGGAGAATGTAAGGATCTTAGAAAATCAATCTAAGAGGTCCAGTATTTCTACAGCTATAGAGAACAAGGCAAATGGAGGAGACTAGAATATAAAATAAAGAAACAGCATAAAATTCCCTCAAACTGAATAGCATTGGCTCCAGATTATAAATAGACCTCTCTAGAAGTCAGTACATCAAATTAGAAAAACAAAAACGAACCTTCTCACTGTGAGGGCACATCATTGTGTCTTGTGGAATTTCACATATCAAGCGTAAGGAGAATATCTCAAAAGCTTCTATGGTAAAATGTCACATTCAAAGGAACAGGACTTAGAATGATATAAAAATTCTCAGGAACATTGGAAGCTATAAGATAAGGGAGAACAAAGTCTTAAAGTTCTGAGGTGAAATTATCATTGACCTAGAATTCTATTTGTAATCAAGACACCAGTGAAGCAGGAGGGGAAAAAATACTATTTTCAGATATATAAGGTTTATCAATAGAATATATTTGCCTCAAGTAATAGAAAACCCAGAGAACCATGGCTTAAACAAATAGGGAGTCTTTTCTCTCACAGAATAAGAAGTCCAGAGGTAGATAATCTGGGACTGATGAAGAAACTCGAGCAATGCCATGAAGGCCCCCAGGTTCTTTTCTGTTGCATACTTAACACAGTGGTTGGTAGCCTCATGGTGGCAAATCGGCTGATGTATATCAAACATCATGCTTTTATTCCAGATAGGAAAAAAGGAAGGAAAGCAAAACTCGCCCAAAAAGCTCCCTACTTATACTTCATTGACTAGACCTGTAAAACCTGGCTTCAAGAGAGTCTGGGAAAGCACATATTTAGCTTTCCCATCTTATATAGTACACCAGGGAATGGGGTTTGGAAATGACTATTAAGTCAGGCAATCAATAGTGATCTGCCACACAAGGTTAAGAATGATAGATCTTTTATTCACTCTTTCTTAGGCAGTTACTACACCATATACGCTAACAAAAAGGAGTAAAAGTAATTAAAAAGAAAACATAGGAACTGGGAAAAAGAGGACCTAATACTGGGAAGCAGTGAAAGGACATCTCAAGGTGATACCTGCACAGTAAACCTAATAAACATCTAGTTCAGATTGAAGCAGGAGGGCATAGGAAAAAAGAGCACTCTTTCTCACCAAAGCAAAGTTTCCAGATAAAAGTAGCCTCAATGGGTATGCTTGAACATTTGGAATAAAAAAGATTGTTAATAGGTAAATGAAATCTGATGTAAAAGATTTAGGATAGGAACATAATAGGAAAATAAAAAAATTCATACAAAAGGAGATAATCACATTTTTTTGGCTCTACAGTGAGCAGTATTTCTCTAATGATCATAATGCAGAAAACTGCAATCAGTGTAACCAAATATTGGGATAAAATTCAGTGGGAGGATGCATGAGCGGAATGGGGAGATGGTGTCAGTGTAGTAAAAATCTTCATCTGCTATAACAGGGAGTCAGTAGGTGATGCCTAAAGTACCAGCTTAAATATATTTAGAAATATGGAAAGAAATATAATGAGAAATGACTAATAACTCTACTTATTCTATCTAAAATTGTCTTGTTTATTCATTTATTTTCTGCTACTGTAGGGTAGTATGGAGGTATTTGATTTAATTTTCAACTTTTTCTAGCTGTTAAGAGTTATTCTAACTTTCCATTAAAATCAGTAGGAGGAGGAAGGTAGTATTTCCCTACAATCCTAATGTAGCTCTACCAGAAAAAAGGTGATGAAGATAGTAATTGATTTGACAAAATATGTTGAAAACTGCTGTGTCAGACTGGTTCAGTGCTAGACTGAAGATACAGTGGAACAAGATGATCATGGAATCTCAGAGTTCTTATAACTTAGCTAGGTGATAATATTCTGATGGATTATAGTAGCTGCTCTTTATTTAGATCTTACCATATGCCAGTCACTAAGCATGGCGGTTTATAAATATCTCTGACTGGTGGTATTATTCTCATTTACCAGATGAGAAAAATTGAACTCAGTGACATAATATATTCAGCATTACATAACCAGAAAAAGAGCTGGAATTTAGAAGTTTGAATGCAAAGAAGTTTTTTCTCCGCCCACCATTTTAAGCTGCTTCCCAAGATTAAAAGAAAAAAGGGGCAAAGAGTAATAGTAGCAGATAATTAGTAAAAAGAAAAAATTTCACTGTCATAAGTAGGATTTAATGGCTATCATTTGAAGATTTTTAAAAAATGATCAGTGTAATGCCTCATCATTCATGGTTAATGGCTAGAGTTAGAGCCAGTAAAGTGTGATAATTGTTCAATTTTGTTTTGATTATAAAAGTAATGTTCTCACTGTAGAGACTTTGGAAAATATAGAAAGAGACAAAAAAGAAAATGTTATCAAACCATCCAGATGTAATCTGTTAACATTTTGATGTAGTTCCTTCCACTCTTTTTACACTTAATGTATAAAATTTAGCACAATTTTATATTTGGCTATCTTTAAATTTTGATTAAATTGTTATTTTTTCCATCATTATAATTTTTTTTTAATCATGGACTAGAGATATTAGTAGAAAAGGCAAGTGGATTCATTTTCTAAATACTTGCTATAATCAACTTTTGTAAAATCAAAATCACCAGTTTTGTTGTGTGTGCTTTTCATTGATTTATGTTGTGTCATCTCACAATGCAAATTCTTTAATTTAGTATCTGTTGATCACCTACTAGCATCTAGTTTGACCCTCTCCATTTTTCCCTCAACATACTTCAGTGCTTTCTATATACCAAGTATGTTTTGTGGATCTTACAAGATCCCTTCTCAAAAAGGACTCATGTTCTAGTGGAGAGAGGCCTGCGGTTGGTCTTCCAAATAATGTGGGGGGAAAAAAATGGATACTATGATAATGTATCCAATTTGTAATTGGATTTGTAACTGTGTCCAATTTGTAATGTAATGGAGGTCCCATTTAGATAGAGTAGGTTGGAAAACCATCTCTGAGGGGGGTTATCTTTAAGATTTAAGACAAGAAATAGAGAATTAGGAAGAACCATATAAAGAATTTAGTGAAGAGCAAGTACAAAGGTCCCAAAACAGGAAAGAACCTAGCATGTTACAGAAACAGTTGGGGCTGGTGCAAATTGAGATTGGGGAAAGTTGGTACGAAATGAGGTTGAAGAAATATTTGAGTCTGATTATTCAGTGCCTTTTACAAATACAAGTTTGGATTCCCCCCCCCCCCTAAAGAAAACAGGATGCTGTTGAAAGGCTTAATGACAGAGTCTTGATCTAAGTTTTGAAAATATCACTCTTTTGTCTAGATACACATGTTCCAAATGCCTAATTTTGACACTATGCCTATAAATTATGTTGTCCAAAGGCTGTATGTATAATGCATGCCTTAACTGAAGATTTTTATGGGAGAGTTGAGCATCATGGTTAGCACTACTGTACTTGGAAAGTTTTCCCAGTTATTCTTGGAATTG